TTATATATAACTAATATAATCATTATATAATATAACTAATATAATCATTATATATAACATAATACAGATTTTACATATATCATATATATACTTATATATAAATCTTTGACTTCCCCGGTGAGATATCTTAGTCTTCACTCACTTACTCTAAAGTGAGGCTGCCAGTCAATATACTCAAACCCCTTAGACAGAGTTGTACATCTTTTTTAATGCTTCAGTCACTAATAAAAGCAGACCCAGAAAACAAAATGAAACAAACAAACAAAATCCCAGCTGTAAAAACCATGATAAAAGGAAAGAAATTTTTAAATAAGGGAAATAAAGTTATAAAAATCCCCCCAGGAAACAAGATAAAAAGACACAGATGAAAAATAAGACCAAAAAAAAAAAAAAAAACTGAAAGATCATTTCAGGAGATTCAATATCAAACTAATAGGGTACCTCAAATAAAATAAATTCCAGGCAAATGAAGGGGAGGCTTTTATCAAAGAAATAGTACAGTATGATTCTCTGGTCTGGAAGACAGGAGTGAGCACAATAAGAGAGCCCATCAAGAACCCAGCACTGTGAATCACAAAACTCTCACCAAGGCTACCTTAGTGAAATATTAGAACACTTGCAAACCATGGAGGCTTTTAAATGCTTTTGGAACAGGACATAGTCAAAGGACCAAGAATCAGGATGGCTTTGGATTTCTCACTAGTAACCTGAAAATTAGAAGACAGTAAAACAATACTTTCAAATTTATGGAGAAAAATTATTTTCAATCTAGAAATCTATACCCAGCCAGACCAATCAAATTGTGAGAGTAGCACAGAGACATTTTGAGACATGCAAGATCTCAAGATTCTCCCACACACACACCCTGCCCCCTTGACCCTTAGTCAAAAAGCTGCTTGGATAGTATTGCTCTTCCAAAATGAGGGGATGAACTGAGATAGAAAGAGAGACATGGGATCCAGGAAACAAGACATCCCACCTAGAAAAGTACAAAGGAAATCTCTGTGATGAAAGGGGAGGGAAGTCCCAGGACAACTACAGCCAGCCTTGAAAGCAGTGAACAGGAAACAGAGCCCCACAGAAAGACCTTCAAGGAAGCAAAACAATGGCAGCTACCAACTCTGTGATTGGAAACTATCAATTCCATGATTCCAGTTCCACTAGACAGTTTTCTTACTTCTGTTGGAGAGATTGGAAACGTATACATAATAGATAGAGGCAAATCAAGAAATTAAAATAATTCTAAAAAAGAAAAAGTGACATACATAAAAGAAAATAGTCATGGAACATTACATTGCGGACTGGGAAAAATAGTTACGTGGTCATACTAATGAGAACACTAAACAGTAACAACTGAAAATCGTAATGTAAAAATGGGGGCTCAGTCCATAGTATAGTGGTTAAAGGAGTCAGATTCCACACAGCCAACCTCAGCTCAAGTCCTGGCCCTGGCAGCAGGAAACTGGGCACATGTGCAGCAGGCCTAAATACTTAGGAGAAGGAATAAAGGAAAGAACTGCAGCACGGCCGTGCCCAGTCAGGGAGGTCTCCTTCTCTATCTCTTTTCTCTCTCCCCCCTTTTTGTGTGTGCATGGGTGTGCACACACATCCTCTAGCAATTAAAAAAATATGTCACAAGGATGAGAGGAGGAAAGGAGGGCCTGTAACTGGACTATGCCATTATCTTCATGGAAAGAAGGTAATCAATAATGCCTAAAGTTGAAAAATCAAGAAATATAAATACAAGGATAATCCCTACAAAGAAATACTTAACAGAAGCAACCAGGTCATCCCCATAGCGTAGTAGTTAAGCTCTATGAGTTGCAAGGCAGATCCCAGGTGGCCTACTGTAGTTTGAATCCCAGCCCGGCAACTTAAAAAACCCTCCAGGCATTTGTCCATGCATGCCCGTAATTCTGCCTGTCATCCTTGTGCGGAGACCATGCTAATCTCTGTATCGTTCCAATTTTAGTAATGTACTGTCGAAACAAGCACATAACAACCGTTGGGACTCAAACCATGTAATTGGCCATGTGGCATGCAGTTGCCATAACGTTCACGCCACCTGTGGATATGCTCAAAATTCTGACAGGAAGGAAAAACAGGATAAAGGATCATGATGTGACTATGCCACATTGGAGAGTGCTTCCTCTTTCTCTTCCTCTCTCTCTCTCTCTCTCTCGCTCTCTCTCTCTCGCTCTCGCTCACACACACATATGCACACACATACACCTTCTGGCAATAAAATAAATAAATAAATAATAAAAAATAAATTAATTTAAAAAAAGAAAAAGCCCCAACTCTAAAAATTGAAGGGGTTTCGGGACCAGCAGATAGCATAAGAGTTAGGTCGCTGAACTCCCACATAATCTACAGAGGTTCAAGTCCCATACCTGGAGGCTTAAAACTCATGCCAGGAACATATGTGCTCATGCCCAAAATCCTGAGTGGAGAATGAAGGAGTAGGGATTGCAGTGTGGCCAACCACTAGGGGGTGATTTTTTTGCTTTCTCTCTCTGTCTCTCTCTGTCTCTCTGGCAAGCGCACACACCCTATAGCAAAAACCTCTCAGAAAAAAAGAAAAAGAAAATTGAAGGGGTTTTAAAGTTGTTATCTCTCTTTTTTTTTTCATTTTTTATTTCATTTTCTTTTATACATTCAATCACATTATTTAGGTTACAAAATGAATATTTCAACAGGTGAACATTTCTCCCTAGTACCGTTAATAAAACTATAAAATATCTTCAACAGATAATACCACATTTCTCTGTCCTGTTAATGCTTTGCCTCCCTACTTTTCTCCTAAATGTCCTCCCTCAGACCCTCCTCTTTCACACACACTATATCTGGTATTTACATCTATATACTGCGTTTCTATATCCTTTAGTCAATTAGTTTCAGTTATAGAGTGTGGACACTCGGTATATAGAAGTGGGGAGGGATTTATGATCTTATCCTTAATCCTTCAGGACTTTGACATTTTAAACTCAGTTCTTCGAAAAAATAAGTTCTGTGTTAATTGGGAGGGTCAGCTGAAACCAAAGCCAAATATGCCATAGCTGTCCTACTCCAGACACTACTAACTAAATACTCTCTAAAACTGAATTATGCCATAATAAGAGACCAAATTCAAATTTGTTTTGCTGCCTACAACCCTAGCATCGCCTGATAAACAGTAAATTTGGCTTTCATTTTGCTTCTGGTTGACTTGTCCTCTGGAGTATACATATATACCCTGTGAAGTAATGATAGGAAATGCCTCTAGGGCATTGTTTTTCTCTTGCCAACTACTGTGTAATTTTGGCTTTAAATATAGGAACATCAGCTACTGGATCATATGGATGTGGGCTTGAATTTCAGCTACTATAATAGAAGCCGTTCGCCGAGAGAGAGCGCTAAGGGCAGGACAGAGTTGTTAGAGTGTAAGCGCACTAGAGTTACGCTTTCCACCACAGTTCTGACTGCTAACTAGAAGCAGCCCTGTGACAGGTGCCACTTACCCTTCTGTACGTTTCTTTTACAAGGCATTTTTAAGAGAAGAATAAGGAAGAGAATAAGAGCTTAGTTGTTGAGATCAATTTGATAGAAAAGGTGCAAGAAGACAGATCTCATTGAAAAGAAAATCTTTCATTTTTCCCAGAGTGGCCTCTTTTGCTCCTAGTTCTTTATAATATTAATGGATAATGCCTTGGTCCCACGTCTGTGGTATTGTTGTTTGAGATTTCTTTTCCTGGTCGCTAATAATGCATAGCCTTGATGTATGCTTCTGGTTCTACGTGAGTCATGCTATTGCTTTCAAAATACCAGAGTTCACGTATCTGGGATGCCTTCTGTGGAACGTGTGTAATGAAAGCAGCCATCCGTGTAGCACAGCACTGGAGGGCCTCTGGCCTTGCTACCACAGGAGAGACCATGGTGATAATCATTGATTACTGGATCACTCTGTTCATTGTGTGTGTATAATAGTTGTAAAAACTGAACTTTCCAGATGATACACCACTAATTGCTCTACTCTCTATAAAATGCCAAGATGCTGAGCACAGATTTCCACAGATTCATTAAATCCACACAAACTGTATGAGCAAGGCTCATACAGGCAAGGAACTCCTGCTTCACATCCTTCAAAATATAAATATCTTTTTGGTTCTCCTATATAATTTCCTAGTTTTTAAATAGGACTTTCTGAACATGTTACTGAAGTTTAACATGCATGTAGAAAAGAGCACATACTTTAGCAGGACTACACACTCTATGTAGCCAGCACTCAGATAAACCAAGCATGACCTCCTGTGAAGCCTTTCTCAATTGCTATTCCCCAGGGTAACCATCACGCAACTTTCTATTAATAACAGCATAGATTCACTTTCTCTGGATTTTGTGCTTTATGGAAGTGTACTCTTCTGTGCCATGTTTCTCTCACTCAACATTACTCAAATTGGGTTCATCTGTAGAGTGTATAATGTATATGGTCACGTACTATCCCATTATGTGCATATACCTCAAAATTCTTATTAGTCTGCTGTTGATAGGAGTATGGGCAATTCCAGCCTTAGTTCATTAGAAAAATCAACCTACATTTGGCCCTCCACATCTTTGGGCATCCACAGATTTAAACAATCACTGATTGAAAATATTCAGAAACAAATAAATAATAAATAAATAAATGTGGCCTATCCTTGATACCTAGTGGTTAAGGGAGCCAGATCCAGCCACATGGCTGGCTGTGCAGTCTGAATCTTGGCCCCAATGGCTTGAGAAACAATGCCAGGCACAAGTTCATGCACCAAACCCCAACAGGATGGAGAAATAAATGAAGGAGATAACTTCCACATAACCACCCCTTACTGAGGGGTGATTTCTCCCACTCCTTCTCTCTCTGTCTCTCTTTCTCTCTGGTGAGCATGTGTGCCCTCTGGCAATAAAAAAAATTTTCAATAGCAATAATTGATAAAAATAATACACATTTTAAAATACAGCCTAACAACTACTTGTATAGCATTTGTATTATACTAGGTATTAGAAGTAATCTAAAGATTATTTAAATTATACCAGAAGATATGTATAGATTTTATGCAAACACTGTGCCATTTTATATAAGGGACTGGAACATCATGAATTTTGGTATCTGAGGGACATCCTTGACCATATCCACCTCAGGTACCAAGGGACAATTTTAAATATATATAGTGTGGGTATCTTTTGGTGAACATATACAAGCATTGTCTGTTGAGTAGCCACATGTAGCTATACCACAGGGTATGTATGTTCAATTTTAATAGATACTTCCAGGTAGTTTTCCAAAGTAATTGTGTCCATCTTTCATTCTTATTTAATACATTCATTTGATGACATTCTCATAAAAAGGAATATTATTAGATGACTTTTTTCTTCACTAGTTTTCAAAATCATGATTGATGATTATATAGTAGGGATATGACCCATTTAAGTGAATTTTCCACATAAAATAGAATGATTCGATTAATGAATTATAATTAAAAAATTTTCACTGAGGAAATTGGAGTGAACTCTTTATTATTAAAAATATTTGCAGACTCATTACAAAAGAAGAAATTTACCGAAATCTATATAGAGAAGTAAGTTTAGGTGATCTCCCAAGTAAGTAGTTCATTTGGAAGCTTTTCCAATAACAACCATCAAGCAGTCAGCAAAAATCCCAGTGGAGATATTATATGGTCAAGAGTCAGGCAGTATAAGTATTGGTTCAACTCTTTCAACCTTGTAAAACCTGTTCACTTGTCTGAGCTTTTATTTTCTCATCTACAAAATAATGCTATTAATCCATGCTTTGATTATAAGGATCACATGAAAATACTTTGCATTATGTAAATCAGCTATAATTATATGAAGTTGGCTTATGTTTTACATCAAAGAGCTATCAACATACTTTAAGGTCCTTAGGTGCTTTCCAATTACATAACTAGAAAATATGTGCCCTTGTCTTGCTTTAACTCTGCTTCTTGTTATCACCTTCATTTTCAGCCTCGAAAGTGTTATCTAGTTCATCATCAGGAATTTCACTGATTTAATCATTGACATACCCTGGTAGAGGGGCCAGTAGGTGGCATGGTGGTTAAGATACTGGACTCCCACATGGCTGAGCATGGTTCAAGTACCAGACCAGGAAGCTTGCTTTTTTACTTTCTTTTTCTCTCTCTCTGGTCAAACTAAACAAATAATAATGATCATAATAAATTGAATAAAATAGTTGTTAAAAAAATACCCTGGTGGATATTAGTTTACTAGTTTACTGGTTGCATGATGGATTTTCAGTAGATCTTTGTCTCCATCTTAGCAAATACTGATTAAAGATCAATCCTGGACTACATGCTCATGTTCATGGAACTTACCTAACCTTAATAGTATCTTCAACATCCATTTTTATTGAATAAGTCAATTACTACTTTTTCATTTGAATAACATAGTGTCTTTTCCTAGCCATTTAAAATTTGCACCATTTTTTAGTACTTTTGGGTTTTGGTATAAGTCGCTGTGAAAGGTAGAATATGTTTAACATCTAGCTGAAAATGCCAAAGTGTCTTCTTCCCCACTTTTGGGCACTTATCTGGGCTCAGTATGATGAAGAGGAAATGCTTAATGCATAGTAATTTATTCATCTCCCTTTCCATTTCATTATATCTCCTGCTCTCTTTTACTTTTCTTTTTCATGTCCCCATGTATGCCACATGCAGTGCGTTTGGCGTAGTTATGCAGCTGATGAGAAATCTGTTTCCATTGCAACCTGGAAGCCACACTTGAAGGCCTTGCACACCTGCAGCCCTACCAAGTAGGTATCATTGTGACAGTTGGTGCTGAAGCTGAATCTTTTCAAGTTTGTTAAACAAACCACACATACACACATGTGCGTGCACTCACATGCCCAAGTGTTGATTTGGGGCTTGGTTTACTCTCTGTTGCTTTTAAAGAAATTAAAACACGTTTAATAACAACTCAGGCACAAAACTAAATGGAATAAATATCATTCCTCACTACTTACAGACTGGGATTATAGATTAAAGGAATATAAACTTTTATAGAGATTTGTTTCTATTGCGTGCTTATTTTCTAATATTTCGTAAAGCCCACCAGAGTTCTAAAGGTAAGCACCATGGTTCTTGAAAAAGGATTATTTCTCTCCCACCCTTCACTCAACCCATAGAAGGGAGTGTCTTGAAATATAGATAGATAATTATATATATAGATATGGATATAACACATATGTTTGTCTGTATATATAATATATTTTTAAAACTTTGCACATTTAAGTCTCTCAGAGTCAGCTCTCAGCTGGATCCCCTTACAGAATGGTCCTCAAGACTTCACTTGCAGATCAAACTAGTACTGGTAGCAAAAAAGAGAAGAATCAGGATCTTAATAGATTATACTGTACAATGAGGCAATAGGACCTATCAGATTAAAATTTGAAATTAACATTCAAAATTTGAAAGTATTATTACTTCTATTCACAGTTTATCAGCCAATCATGCCTAAACCCAAAGGGAATGGGGAAGTGCAATCTAACATGTGCCAGAAGGAGGGGACAGTAAGAAAAATGACAGAAAATCCTGTTGATTCTCACAGACATCTTCAACTTTAAAAAAAAAAAATCCCTTTGTCCTGGAATTCTGGACTCTGGTTCAGCTAGCACAGCACACATTAAATTATAATCACCATCTAATTAAAAAAAAAGTCCTCACTGAGACACCAAAGCAAGTCACGAGAAAGGTTTTCTGTGAGTCACACAGCTTGATTAGAATAGTCAGTTCCTTGGGTTGTTCAGGAGTGATTAAATTGCTTATCTGACTTAGTGTTTTGGAGCACCAGCTGTTCCCCTTCATAGCCCAAGAAAACTTTAATCCTAGTGGCTTCATGGGATTGAAAAGACCTCAGTACCGTGACTAGGGAGAACCATCTCATTCTTTCTGATCTGGCAGGAATACAGCCAGGACACCTTCATGACTTGTTCCTTGGCATTGCCATCTTCACAGAGGTGTGTGATGCACAGAGTGCCCAGCGCTGGGAAGCAGTGGATCTATTAACTAATAGGACTCATTGCGTTCCTTCTCGGCTCTGCCCTGGGCCTCAGTTTTCTCTTCCACAAAGGAGGACAAAGCCTGGGCAGGATGATTCCTAAACTCAAATGGAGAGGTCTCCTAGGCTGGCGGCTAAAACTCCTGTCAGCACCGAGGACAGAGATAGTCTTAAAACCCCAGGATTCTAAAGAGACTGAAGCTTTAGCAAAGATAGAAGCTCGGATGTCATTGAGTAAATCTTCTTTTTATTTAGATACTGGAATTTAGTCGAATCCCCTTAAGTGAGTATTAGATTCTTCCAAAGTTTTGGTGTTAAAAAACAAAAAGCAAAAAAGGACCATATTTCTTGTACTGCCTAATCCTTAGGGATATGAATCAAAAATGGGAATTATAGAAATTTCTTATCTTCATGAGGTTTGCTAGATTCATGTAAAAGAGGAAGGGTAGTAAGAAAAGTTTGCTAGATAAATGTAAAAAAGGAAGGTTGGTAGGAAAACTGACAGAAGATTCTCAAGTGACAAAGGTGGCTATTATCATACGTGATTATCTGGCTTCTCACTTAGTCAGTTTGGGGTTTAAAAGTCATTCGGAAACCTAAGAACTATTATTCGTGAACCAAATTCTCCCAGTGTGTCAACTATTATTTTACTCACATCATTTCTTTATTTTTTCTCTCTATTTCCCCTGTTTTAAGTGGGGTAGCAGAGGAAGAGGGTTTATGCAAACATCTGCACTCCCCCTGTCACACTGTGCCTATCATTCACTCCCTTACCCTCCTTTCCCTGCAACCTCATTCATTTGCATCTCAGTCCCATTTACTGAAGAACTATTTTTTGTCCAGAATGATACAGCTTCAGTGGTAAAATTCGTGGAAACCTGCATGTCCTAACATCTCTTCCTCCAGTAATAACACATTGTTTCAAATTGCAGTGGTTCTTAATCATTGTTGTTCTTTGTTAAATAAGTGAGAATGTAATGGAAATTATGGACCCTTTACCAAGAAAACTATTCAATGCACAAAGAAATCAGAACTTTGCCCGCAATTCTAATGCATTCACAGACTCCCTAAAGCCAAGTGAGAACCTTTGCTTAGAAAGCAAACCTGCTTCATTCACATTTCTAGATGCGTGAGGAGCATAACGTACAACTTAAAGAGGCATTTCTACACATATAAGTACCTAGTGTACTGGGTGCAGAGTGGTATATTAAGAAAAGGACCAAAACCACTTTTCATTTACATAGTCTGTTTTCCTCGTCATTCAGAATCCAAGACCATTCATTCACTTGCATATCTGAGCGCCCATCATGTGCAAGGCACTGTTCCAGGGACCAGGAATGTGACAGTCAGAGAGAAATAAACAAGTTAGAATATTAAGCCTCAGGAAATAGATGGTCAAGGAATACTAGGAATAGACAAAAATAAATAAATAAATAAAATAGAAACTATGTTAAGGGGCAGTGAGTGCTAAGAAGAAAAGTAACACAGAGAAGGAATTTAGGGAGCATTGGGGGCTACGATTTTAAATAGGTAGTTGGGGAAAAGATCATATTATCAACAGCATCGTCACCATCTTCATCAGTGGTATTGTTTTTATTAAAAGACACCATCCTGTGCTCTCGTTCCCCACAGTTTTAGAGATAGAGTGGGATGTTTTGACTCTACGACCTCACCCTGGGTATTAAGATGGAAGACAGATGTAGGAAACAACTGCAGAGGAAGAGGGGCATGCCATACTACTCAACATTGCCAGGGACACAGCCCAGCCGCTTCTTACTGACTCTCCATGTCTGGTTGGTCTCTTACATATACTTTAGAGGTCTGAGCAGTTGAAATTTTAAAATTTCAATTTAATAACAGAGGATTTATAGAGGGAAAATAGTCTTCTTGATTTTCTTCTCCAAGAGAATGGAGGCTAAACACAGGACGACCTATAGGTAAATGTTTTATTTTAGGGAGTGAGTCAAGGAGTTTCTGAAGCTATGGGGAATTGTCAAGCTCCAAGCATGCAAAATGGTACCTTAAGAAGTCAGTATTTAGAGATTACCTCATCTATATCATTGATTTACTCATAAGAAAACCAAGATCAATAAGAAACTGAGGTACCTGTCCAAAGACACAGAGCTCATTTGCAAAGAGTAGATGCCATGTCACCTAGATCTGAATTTGCTAAAATGAGTTATTAAAATTGCCACTCAAGGGACCACCAGGTGGTGGGGTGGTTGAGGTGCTGGACTCTCACATCGTCCACTGCGGTTTGAGTCCCAGAACTGGCTGCTTACTTTCTCTCTCTCTCTCTCTCTCTCTCTCTCTAAGTTCATGCACCCTATAGCAAATTAAATAATAATAATAATAATAAATAAAATTAATAATTCCTTTTTTAAAGAGGTTTTTGCCTTAGGGTGCTTGAACTCACCAGGGAGAGAGAGAGAGAGACAGAGACAGTGAGAAGGAAAGTGAGAAATCCCCCCACCCCCCTGGGGAATGGCCACACCACAATCCTTTCTCTTCCCAAGATCTTGGGCATGCATGCACGCACATGCACCTGGCAAGATTTTCAAGCCACCAGGTCCAGGACTCAGACCACAGTCAGCCATGTGGGAGTCCAAAGACATAACCCCCATGCCATCTGCTGGCCCCAATTTATTAACTTATTTATTTATTTTTATTTTATTTTATTTTATTTTATTTTTTGGAGAGGTTTTTGCTATAGGGCACATGCACTCACCAGACGGAGAGATAGAAAGTGAGAAATCACCCCCAGGGGAGATGGCCATGCCGCAATCCCTTCTCCTCCATTCTGCTCTCGGGATCTTGGACACGCATGCACACGCACCCAGCGTGAGTTTTAAGCCACCGGATCCGGGACGTGAACCACGGTCGACTACATGGGAGTCCAGCAACATAGCCATTATGCTAACTGCTGGTCTCCCCCCCAAATTTATTTTTAAAAATATGCTACCCAAGTGTAGACTAAAAGAATTCTGATCGATTTTCTATGTAGATTATTTACTTCAAAGAAATTAATACTTCATACAATTAGAAAAGAAAAAAATCTACCTCAGCAAGTGACTAAAGTACAAGACCGTGGTTGTACATGAGTGAATCCAGATGTGGAGACCCAATAGTCTGCCTAAAGCACAGGGACTGTAGCTACATTGTAACCTACCCTGACTAGGGCCAGTTAGATCAGAACCACGTTTTCTTAACCAAAGACAGCTTTGGCCAATGACAGGTATGTGGTTTTGGCTAATATGTGGGCAATATTGTTTTTCCAAGTGAATATGCTCACTCAGGTCTGTGCCACAAAACCTATTTAGAAAGCTGAGTACATTTCATATATAGAACATTGCTTTTGTGGATCTTGCTTGCAAATTGTTACTTGAGGTACTTGATTCCCCAATCTCCAGCTTGGCCCTTATCAAGTGATATAAATGTATTCACCAGTTTGTCATCATTTCTCTTCTGTCTGCACGCACCTGAAGGAAAGAACAAGGGGAAGCATCAAGCAGGTTTGTGATTTCTCTTTTGCTACATATTTGTTTATAAATCTAATGCCTATCATATATTTTAAATGTGTCTCATGTGGATAAAATCGATCAACAAATACAAAATGATTAAAAGTGACCTTTCATAAGATTGCTTGCAAAGGTTGCTGTTTTATTGATTTTACCCCCTTGGGAACAGAAGCATCTTTTCCTAACTCACTCACTGCTTTTAATAATCTGCAGGACACCAATGTTCAGGGGGGCAGGGAGCAAATCATTATATTCTTTCTTTCTTTTTTTTTTTTTTTTTTTTTTTGCTATTTTCTCAGACTGAAGTCTTACCCAAATTTTTAAATATAACAGGGAGTAAAAGAAAGATTTTTTTTTTTGCAAGAAGAACACTGTGATGGTAAACACTATCTCTCTGTGATATTTTCAGCCATTGAGCACTGAAATTTACTCAAGCAATCTGATGCAAAAGAAAAGTCCTGATTCTCACCATCACCCACCACATTTATTAGATAGAAGAATAGATAGAAGATAGCTCTCCCAAAACATCTCCGGATAACTTACGGTCAGTCTTTCATGCCTTAGCAGGAAATGCCTTATCAGAGTAAGTAGTAGAGTTAGATCGAGAGGGAACAGGAGGGAGAAGAGAACATTTCGCTCCAGGAGGGTCTGGATTTGGGAGCCAAGTCCTGAAGGACAGAGCTGGATGGATCCCAGCACTAATGGTATGAGGAATGGCCAAGCCAGAGCCTACAGGAAAACCCAGGAACCTGGAAGGGAAGAGGTGACACAAGTTTTCCTGTCATTGCTACTTGTTAGAGGAAACAAAGTCTGCCCAGAGTGGGCCCAGAGTGAGGGCCCATGTGGGTTCCGAGATGGTTGCTTCTGCTTTGTAAGTACATTGCAATAATAAAGTATGTTTTAATAATAGCATTAACCATAATGTATCTATACAGTGATAAAACTAATTTTAAAAGTTTACTTGGGGTGATGGGGCTCTGAATTATTCATTTCCCCATTACATCAGTAGTTTAAAAAGATTCACAAACCAAAAATATGTGCATGCATGTATGTCAGGAGACAGACAAGGCAGGACACACAATACCAGGTCTTCCTCTGGTAGGAAAGCCTACACAGGGGATGGCATTAAAGATTGTCTTTTCCTTTTTTTAAGTTTCTTTATTCCCTTCATGGTCTTGACGATCCTAACTCCATGATCTTCCCCCCAAACTGCAACCTGCCAGGGTCACAAGAACCCATGGGTTCAGGTAGACCCAAGTCATGAACATGGAGCTTTCTCACATGGCCTCCAGCAGCACTCCTACTGCCTAGGCCACTGAGGTTTATCCAAGAACCTTCTCTTACTTGGTAGTCAAAAAATTAAAACACAGCGTATGGAATATTCACTGTGATATTTCCAGAAAGTTTAAGTTGCCTGAAAATTTGCTCTTCCCCTCTTTGGAGATATTTCTTCTCTTTGATCAAAGAAGTTCTGTTAGACCCAGAATATTCTTTGCTTAGACACCAGAAGAGGCAGGCTAATTCTAGTCTTTAGTCCTGTTTCTACCAGATGCCCACCATCCTTCAATTGTGAGGACTCTGCTTTCTAAAAGTTACACAAAATCATGCCAGCAGGTGGTGTGGTGGTTGAGGTAGCTGGATTCCACATAGCTGATCCCACAGTTTGAGTCTTGGACCCAGCAGCTTGAAAATCATGCCAGGCTGATGTGCGTGTGTGCCTAAAATCCTGAGAGGAGAATGAAGGAGAAGGAATTATGGAGCAGCCTCCGACTGGGAGATGATTTCTCAGGAGCCAGCAGTGGCTTGAAGGTTAAGGCGGCTGGATCCCACATAACTGACTGCATGGTTTGAGTCCTGGACCCAGTGGCTTGTAAATTATACTGGGTATGTGTGCGTGCATCCCCAAAATCCTGAGAGGAGAATGGAGAAGGGATTGTAGTGTGGCCATCTTCCGAGGGAGTGATTCCTCACTT